GGTGGCAGTCCAGCGCCCTATGGGCGGTGGTTCCTGTTCTTCTCCGGCATCGTCGTCCATACCGTCTTTGTCTTCGGAGTCAAAATCAAGCATGTCGGTTAAGTCATCGACAGTGGCTATTAAGTGGGTTGTGGGTGGGCAACGAATTCCTTCTCGCCCGCTTCCCACTCAAGCTGGACATAGTTCGGCCAAGAATCTCCCGACAGAGAGAGAGAGATAGATAGATAGATAGAGAGAGAGAGAGAGAGAAAGAGATTTTAACGAGTTTAGCACATCGCCCAAGGGCGAGTGCTGAAAGATATCCACGAAGCTAAACTCCATGATCAGTGCCCAGTTATATTCGATGGGCACGGATGCACGCGGTTCAGAGCCTATGGCCGGAGACGAGTCCGAGGGTCCGATTACACAGACCTCCTTAGAAGTGAGATCGGTGTCCGGCTCTATCGCCGCTGAGTGTGCGGCCTCTATGGCGGGGTCCATCCACCCGTCCTCGGGTGGCACGATCTGCTCCAGATTTAAAGCCGGGGCAACTGCAGGTGTGATCTCCTGACCGCCGCCCAATGGCATATCTAAGTCATGCTCATCGCGGTTGTAGGGGGTGCCTCTCATGGGCTCGAATCCGTCGAAGATAAGTCTCCGCGGATGTCGGCAGTGTAGTTTAGGCTTCCAAACCTGACCTGATGGCCAAGGGCGTAGCTATCGATCTGCTCCAGATGGCCAAGCGAGTTGGCCCGCAGTGCGAAGCCGCCGAATACGAAGAGCTGTCCGGGGAGGAAAACCTCACCCTGGATCGCATCATTATAGATGATTGAAGGAGCCATCAAGCCTTATGGTAACGACACGGTGGAACTCTCAACGAAAGCACCAATGTTGGTGTCAAAACCGGTGGATCTCGGGTAGGGGGTCCCGAACTGTGCGTCTAAGGTTAATGGTAACAGGAGGCAGGGGACACAATGTTTACCGAGGTTCGGGCCCTCTCGATGGAGGTAATACCCTACTTCCTGCTTGATTGATCTTGATGATATGAGTATTACAAGAGTTGATCTACCACAAGATCGTAGAGGCTAAACCCTAGAAGCTAGCCTATGATTATGATTGTTGTTGTCCTACGGACTAAACCCTCCGGTTTATATAGACACCGGAGGGGGCTAGGGTTACACAGGGTCGGTTACAAGGAAGGAAATCTACATATCCGAATTGCCAAGCTTGCCTTCCACGCAAAGGAGAGTCCCATCCGGACACGGGACGAAGTCTTCAATCTTGTATCTTCATAGTCCAACAGTCCGGCATAAGCATATAGTCCGGCTGTCTGAGGACCCCCTAATCCAGGACTCCCTCACTTAGCTCTAGTGATTACTCCCAAGGATTACTCCACCAAATACCATTACTTAGTTATCACGGTGTGCATGGCTGGCTATTCATGCGCAGTACTGCAGTGTGTGGCCTTCTCTATTCTGTGAAATGCCAATACTTGCGCTGTGACCCTTCATGTAATGTCTGTTAACTTCCAAAGTGTCGCGTACTATGTATATGTATCTTGGATATCGACATGTCGGAAACCTATAACCCTTTGAAACAGGACCTGCTATCTACTGGTATTACTGATATAAAAGAGAGATTTGGTTTGTGCTGATGCAGGAGGGCTGCAGCCTCGACGCGACGATCAAGTAGCTCCTTAGCGCGGATAAGCAGTGCCACCAGGCCGGCGGCAGGAAGTTTGCTGATCGTCGGGATCTGCTTCATGGACGGCGCCTGGAAGATGCTCAATGACCAGACCATCGTCCTCTCCAAGAGGAGGAGCCGGCTCGTACAACTCGCTCCTCCTCCCTGTTTCTTCTTCGATTGTGTCTACTATTCAGATATCTAAGATGTCAGATTTATTCTTTATGCCCAGGATATCCCTCTCTGACTTAGTTGATTAGTATAGTTGGTTGACAATCAGGTTGTAGGTTTGTGTTTTGTAGTCGTGCCTCATCCTTTTTCCTCCGTTGACACCACAATAAAAATAAGAAACACAGTATGTATTGATATTTTTTTCCTTCATAGGGCATCTATACCATTTATATATTCTTAGAGGCTCCAAAATATGAAGAAAGAGGTGGCTATTCATTATGGCAAGTATCACAAGACATTATGGAGGTTCTCAACGCTTGGCTCCAATGTCGCTGCTCCATCGGCAACCTCTGACAGTTCGTTTGTTCATCTGAGGTGGTGCCTATGAAGTACATCGACAAGGCAGATGAATTACGCCATTTATTAGTATGCTTAGTGCTTATGCCTCCATAATTGGCTCTCCTTTATTATGCTTCCGTTCTTATTACCTCTTATGTATTCTCTCTTTTTGTATCGAACTTCATGTCGAGTGGATATATTTTGTGGTCCTATGAACGAGCTGAGCTTGATCCTGCCTTATAATCTGATGTCGATATTGAGCTCCATGTGTTTTACTTCTATCACGATTGAATGTTTGTTTGCTTTATTATTATCATGTATAAGTGCAAATGCTATATCTTGGTTCCTAGTAACATAGTGTTACATGCTTCAGCAAAATGTTGGGACCGGCACCCTCGTGCCAGGGCGCGATCCCGATCTAGTAAAGCATGATGTGTAGCGCTGCTGCAAGCTTGGGATGATGCGGAGGACTGGAGGAGTGATCCCAGGAATTGATGTACTGTTGTATTTTCCTTAATCTTGTTGGTTTCCTTGTTTGTTTTCTGTACGTAAACTTAATTTTTCTCCTACTGAATGAAAATGCAGAGCAGCTACCATTGATTTCATAAAACAATTCTCAAGATGGATTCACAGCCTCGGAGGATCCGCACGTGGTTGTAAAGTTCTTTAGATACGACATCAGGGCATAGAGGATCTCATCCCATTCCCAATTCTTGAAGAGTCTCCAGGTCCATACTGCAGCGATTTCGTTGAGGCTGAAGAATGCCTTTGATGAGAATTGAATAAGAGGGGATCTGTTTATCGCATGTTTGGCAATCAAATGCAGCTCAAGCTCAGCATATATAACATTTATTTGAAACACAAGGACTCGGTGGAACACTTCCAAACAAACGACAAACGTGGACATACAGGCGTGCATAAGTCTGATGCTTGTGTGCATGAACAGCCGGCAAATACGTGATACAGTACAACAAATCTGCTACAATACATTAACATCACGAACAACCATAGTGGTTGGTAGGCCTTGGTCGTGGGGTCGCAGTGTCATTTCGCCTTGGCCGGGGATAGTGGTCAGGCGAGGTGATGCTGACTTCAAACTCGCCGCCGCCGTTGTTGGCAGAGCATCTCCTCATATCAAGGGTGAGCTCCATATCCTGGAATTGAAAGACGGGGCTGACACCATGTTGGCTTGGTGGTGCATCGTACAGGGTTGCCGTTATCAGGAGCGGCGAACCAAGTGGCATGGCCACGACAGACCGTGCCAGCGGCAACCGGGTACCGGCGACGAGCAGCACCCCCTCGACCTCCGAGTCGAACAGCACGCTCCACGATGTGTCTTCATCATGGAACGCCTTGCTGCGCGTGGCGATGCGACCGTAGACGGCGGCGGCAGTGGCTCCGGGGAGGCGAAGGTGGACTTCCAATTCGGCATCCACGGCGTCGCTCAGCACCGCGTAGGTCACGTGTACCTTCCGGCCGCTGCTGCTCGTTGTGATGGTCTCTGTAACTTGCCTGTCGTAAACCTTTGCTTGGTCGTAGCAGTCCCAATCCAGCTCACCAACGTCTCCGGCGCCGCTGATGTCAACCTCAATGGTAAAGCTCCCGTACGCGGAGATGGCTCGGTATGGCCCAGTCAGCAGCAGCGGCCGCGGCTGGTCGTCGTCACCCTGGATGCATGCGTGTGCGTGTGCGTGTGCGTATACGTCAAGCTCAAGCCGGCAAGGCAACAATAATTAAGCAAATACTGTAACGCGTCTCACCTAAAGAACGAATAACGATAGAAAAATAAACGGCGTGGCGTACGTACCGAGCTCGAAGAGGAGCCATGGATAGGAGGAGCACCGCCATTGTTGCCCATCTCGTAGATGACCTGGCCGCGCATGCCGTCGAACACGGAAATGGTGCCGACGAAATGGAAGCCGGCGCGCACGGCGAACACCTCCACCAATGGCCGGCCACGGGCCACGAAATCGTCAGCAGGCGATTCCGATGGTGTCTCCTGCTGGTGGGAATCCCCGCTGCCCTTGTCAGACGGCTGCTGCTGCTGGTCCTGGTCATGCTGCTGCTCGGTTCTCCTTTTTTTGTTAGGAGGAGGAGGAGGAGGGGGAGACTGCTGCTGCCCCCTGGATCCGCTGCCATGTTCACCTGCAGCGGGCCTCTGACCGCCACGGTCACCTGCCGCGCGGCGGCGCTGTTGCTCCGATCGCCTGGCGTCGTCGTCGTCACCTGCCGCGGGCCGCCCTGGCTGGTACCGCTCCCCCCGCCATCGGGGCGGACGATGAATGGGCGTGTTAAGCAGCAGCTCAACTATACCAAATGCCTTCAATGCGCTCCCGACCCCGATATCCCTCAGACACTGGGGGAATTTGAAGTTGCCCGACTCCCTGTCCCACCGCAGCAGGGCCTCAGACATGTCGCCCCAACCCCAGATGTAGTCCACGTGCTTGCGGTCGGTGCAGCACCACTTGGCCTGCCAGCCCGCCTGCATCTGGAGCGGGCGCATTCTTGTGGCCTCGCAAACCATCACCATGAGAAATGCCAGTGCACGTTTGGTGCGCTCGTCAACCCTGCCGCCTTCACCTTGTGAGTAGCCTGATAGCCAGCGCACGGCTGAGCGCACGGGCTCTGGGCCAAGACACATTTTCACAAGCTTCCCCGCCCCTCCATGTACTAGGCTCCCGTAGTTGACATCGCATTCCAAGAACCTGGACTCTTTGTCTCGGACCATAGGCCTGCTCTTCTTCTTGCTACCGTCAATCATCGTCGTCCCCGAGAAACCAAACTCGAACAATTCTCCTTCCTTATTCTCGAAGCCAGTCAGGTAAACGTTGTCGTCCCGGACCCTTAGTGTCGTCTCTGCGCCGTCGTCCAGTTCAAGCTTGATGTATATCCACCTATCCGGCTCTCTGGAATGCCTCTGCTTGGGAAGCACGTAACGGATTTTCCTATGGAGGTCGCGGACATGCTGCTTTGGGTTGTCGCGGTGGTTCGCGAGGATGAAACGAAGTTGCCCGATGAAATTATTATAGTCCATTCTGTCGACGTTGTGGGTGATCGTTTCATCAATAGAACGCATCCTGCAATTGATTATAAGTTGCTAATTAATTACTCCTTCTGTGTTAGTAGGTTTCTTAGTTAGCACGTAATCATATGTATTTTGCTTATGTGGCATAGCACTTTAATGAAGAAAGAAATGGAAATTGTATCTTACTACACTAGTAGAAAAGAGGGCTTTGGTCTACCCCGGGTTAGCCCATTAGTCCCGGTTCAGTCTAGAACCGGGACTAATGGGGGTATTAGTCCCGGTTCGTGCGCCCAGGGGCCACGTGGGCCATTTGTCCCGGTTCGTCTGGACCTTTTAGTTTCGGTTGGTGCCACGAACCGGGACTAAAGGGTGCGATGCCCATTAGTACCGGTTCGTGGCACCAACCAGGACTAAAGGTTAGACCTTTAGTCTCGGTTCGAGCCACCAACCGGTACTAATGGGGTTTGAGGCATTAGTACCGGTTCATGGCACGAACCGGTACTAAAGGTCACATTTTCAAACTCCACCCCCCTTGGATCGCCTTTTCAGTTTAAAAAAAATAAAAGAAAATAATGATAATGTCAAAAAAATAAAAAAAATAAGTTTCCCATGTGATATGTGGTCTAGTTGTTGGGAAAATTTGCAAATGTGAATTTCAACTTTATTTGCAAAATCTCTCTAAAATTTAGTAAAATGGGCATAACTTTTGCATACTGACTCGGATGAAAAAGTTTTTTATATGAAAAATCATGTACTCGAAAAGTTACATCCAAATTTAGTTGGGGGAACCCCGTTAAACATTTTCAAAATCCTCAAAAACCTAACAGAAAAAAAGTTACGGGGCTTTTAAGATCTAGAGTGGAAAAAAAATTCAAACTAACAATGGTCAAACAATGGTCAAACTAATTATTCTAGAATATTAGTGTTACTAAATAATTATTTCAGTTATTTTGAATTTTGGTCAAATCTGGTCAAACTGTGGTCAAATTGTGGTCAAACAATGGTCAAACTAATTATTCAAGAAACATTAGTGTTACTAAATAATTATTGTTTTTTAAAACAATAGTTTCAAACTCAAACAGTGAAATGTGTCACTTCATGCTCAAGAAAAATTCCTGAAGGTTAATAGGATTGACATCTTAGTATTGTCAGGAAAACAACAAGTGCAGACATGGAAACGAGGGAGAATAGAACCCGGAAGTTAAGCGTGCTCAGGCTGGGGGAGTGGGAGGATGGGTGACCGTTCGGGAAGTTAGATGATTTGGAATGATGAGGGGTGACTAGAGATTAGAGGATAAATTGAGCAGTGATGAGGGGTGGTGATTAGAGATTAGAGGTGAAAATAATTCAGAAATTTGAAAAAAAATCAAAAAAAAATTCAAAAAAAATCGTAAAATTTCCTTTAGTCCCACCAACCGGGACTAAAGGGGAGAGGCATTAGTAACGACCCTTTAGTCCCGGTTCAAAAAACGGGACTAAAGGGCCTTACCAACCGGGACAAAAGCCCCTTTATCTACTAGTGCTAGCTAAGATACAACTCTTGCACGTGGCCATATGCAAAAAAGCATTGCCATCATACAAGTACTCCAATGAGTTTTATGTAAGTCATCCAATGTAAGGTGTGAAAATAAATGTGGTAGCTCTCTATTCTACTCCCTCCGTCTCATAATATAAGAATGTTTTTCAAGCTAACATAGATTGAAAAACGTTCTTATATTATGGGACAAAGGGTGTACTTTGTAGCTTGTGCCAGAGGTGTTGATTAATCTACATACAAGTTTGCTCTCTCACCTTATTTATTACATGACACATCATCATTGTATCCTAGGTGGCAAATTTATCAACATCTATCTTACAACCATTGAAGATGTCCTCAGAAACAATGCATTGTGGTAGTTGTTTCTTAAATTTTTATTGCACCTATGATAATGTGCTAGTAAGATACAATGCATTGTGGTAGTTGTTTCTTAAATTTTTATTGCTCTTATGATAATATGCTAGTAAGAAACAATGCATTGGGAGAGCCCTTAGAAAAACTATTTGTTCCAAATTACCCCCTTCTAAGGCCCGTATGGTAATTAATAATAAAGTAACTCCCTACCTTTAATTACTTTCCACCTTTATTTTCCTCTTTTTCAACTCGGGTGGAAGGTGTGAAACGGATGAAGTTTCCATGCGGGGCTGCATTCGGTGTGGGAAAATGATCCTTAATTAATTGGACAGTTAAGTGATTGGAGGGAGGGAGAGCTAATGAAAGATTTCATCATCCGATCGATTTTCACTTTGGTTGCCATGCACATCCTAGCAAACCTAATACAGCTAAACGGAGGGAGTAGCTAGCAAGGCCAAAAAATTTGCCTGTTCAAATTGAAGGGCTGTCATTAGTAGTGCTTGGGCTCGTTTCAATGAAGTACATGTGTTTCAAGTATAATAAAGACTGTAAGTGATTACTAACTTCTTCCCTCTAGTCTGATGTTTTGACAATTGTATAGTGGTAATAGATTTTTCTAAAATATAACTTTCACCACTATTTTAAAATATAATATTTATAAAAACTATACTTCTGTGGAAGTATCTTTCTTTTCACAACAAATGTATTATTTTCACTTTTGGTTGCCACTAATAAATAATGTCTTCCATGTGAAGTTTTAATTAAACAAGGTAACATGACACAACATGTTAAGTTTCATACTCATAGTTGACTTGAAACTCAAGTTGATGTTGAAAATCCATGTGTTGCCGGGAATGCTTGGCTATGACTATGGATAGCCCATGTTTACCTCTTTCTGGTACGCACAGACAAGTTTACCTGCTTGGTAATATACTAGCACGGTGGACGGAAAATAGTATAAACCTAGATTTTCACAAGGCTATTAGCACTTTTGACCATCGGATCTACACCTTTAAGTGTTTCTAGCTTTCGGATTAAGCCTTGTCAGTAGTAGTCCCATGAATGTGATGCACTCCACAAGAAATGGCCAGGTGCACTAGGCTCGTCGAATTCTTGTTTGTTCCTGAATTTGGGGGCCCTTTATTAGATCCTTGTGAAATTTCATTATTGCGCCATGTATAGGATATAGCTAATTTTTTTAATAATACATTTTTTGGTTAATTAAAGAAATAATACGCGGTTTCAAATTTAAAAAAAAATAATACACCGTTGGCTTAGCTGTGGCGGATAGGGACTAATTGGCCACGGCGAAACCGATAGGGACTAATTGGTCACGACGATGCCGATTAATACACGGCCGGAACGCCATGCAGTCGGCCCCAGGCCTTTCGGCCACGCCGAAGCCGACAGGAGGACAATGAAAGATTTTTAAAACACACACTGACCATTTTTATACATGATTAATAATAATGTTCAGCATGTGAAAAAATGTTCAAGTGTTGTACAAAAATGTTTCCATACAAAAATTTAAGTTTTCATAGTTGAAATGTAGAAAGTTCACATGGAAAAAAAATGTCCTTGTAGCTTTTAGAAAATAACATATATTTTCTTAAGAAGAAAAATAAAATATTCATCTTTTGTTTAAATATGTTCATCATGTCATCGTGTAACTTAAACATGTTTATCTTATGTTTACAAAAGTTCTCCATGTATTTACAAAATTTTCATCATGTTTGTGTTGTAAAAAATATTCATTGTATATATACAAGATGTCCATTGTTTTTTAAACAAAGTATTTGCACATTTAAAACATGTCTTTATACTTTTCAAATGAAGAAAATGAAAAAAAAAGTGAAAAACCAATCAAATGTGTATCTCAGTAATATTTAACTTGTATATCAGAAACTATTCAACATGTACTTAAAAAAATGAGCGTAGTGCGTTAAAAATAATTATCATATATTAAAAATACATTGATCATTTAAATAATATTCAACATGTAATAAAAAATTGATGATATATTTCAAAAATTGATCATCATGTGTTAAATACATGTCATGTATAAGAAAATGTTTATAATATTGTAACCTTTTTTTACAAACAGGTTTAATCAATAATAATGTTCATTTAAAAAATGTTTCATGTTTCATGAGACTTATGTGGGACCTCTTGTCGGCTTCGGCGTGGCCGAAAGGCCTGTCAGCTTCGGCTGGGCCGATTGCATGGCGACTGGGCCGGCCGGGTACTAATCGGCTTCCCCGTGACCAATTAGTTCCTATCGGCTTCGCGGTGACCAACTAGTCTCTATCGGCCACAGCTACGCCGACGGTGTATTATTTTTGTACATTTCGAAACCGCATATTATTTCTCTAATTATTGAAAAAATTAATTATTTAAAAAAATTAGCTAGGATCTAATGCTTATCATATGCCTTGGCAGTACTAATTAGTTGTATTTGCTATGTATGTTGTTCTCCGAAGCTAATTTGTATACTTATTCTGACTATATATGATATTTTTTTTGATTACTCACTAATGTATTGTTATGTTTAGGGAAATTTAATATGCATCATGTATTTATATATTTATGAAAATTCGATCATTTCATAACATCGTAAAAACATCAAATATTTTGAATATTTTGGAGTTAATATAATTTCCATACGAAAATTTGATGCAAATATATATTGCGGTGATACAAATCAAATTACCCAAATGAGCTAGAAAAAGTTGAGTTATATTGCGGTGATACGAATCAAATTGCCCCGAAGGTCCTCGAAGCCTGTATTACTACAGCGGTGAGATTACAATTACAGGAGGGATCCTAAGGATTTATAGAAATTACAAACTAGTCCTTGCACTTTGCGGACAAGCCCTCAAAAAGATAAACGGGAAAACCAATCAAGGGCTTGGTCTTCACCGCTCCTCGCCGACGACCTCGGAGGTGTGGGGATCAACGCTCGAAGGGCCTCAAGGCCTGGGCGCCAGCAACACATCCGGGGACGAAACCACTTGGAGCGTTGATACCCACATCCAAGGTCTTCCAGTTAAGGAAGAAGCAGCCCGGGCCGAGCGCGGAGGGCCGTGGATAGCATCGGCATACAAGGGCCTCTGCTGATGCACTCCGCCACAGAATCCGGCTTCAGAAGCACTCCAGTTGT